ATTGTGCAGTGAAAATCTTCCAATTATCGCCGATCTAATCATCATTTAAACTCACCGCCCCCAGCATTGTGTTCCATGATCGATCTTGAGCAAACCTCGACTGATGTTTTCCCTCACCGTCATCGCGTTTTGGTGCTCTTTGTCATAAAATAGCGTATGTACAAGACTCCCGAGGTCTCGATCTACAAATCTAGAAATTTTCATCTCCGTCTGACGATCGAAGTCGTCGCACACGCTGCCCTCTGTGCGTGGGTGTCATCTGTCATTTAGGGGAGCCTGATGACCAAGCCACTCGAGCCGTTAAAATGAGTCGCGTTGACCGCCGTTGATCGTCGTTGACCAGCCGTTGACTTTTAAAAAAAACCTATCATGAAGTTTTTCGACATCCTAAGTCCGTTTTTTAGGTCCGTTTTGCCAAATTCAAACTCGGTAAGTTGTTTTCACTGATTAATCTCCCGATTTGATCCTTTTTTGTAATTAAGTTACGTTTATGACATAATTTCTATTTGTATACATCCAAGATATCATTGGACGTTGGATTAAAGTTCGAGAATGATCGAATGAAGTTTAAATGTTTGATCGGTAGAGCACGAAAATCGAGTTAATACATTAATGCCTTATGCATACTTTATGGAACATGTTGGAATTGGTAAATACATGGATGAATATGTTTGGTCTCATATATATAGTAAATTAATTCTAAACTCGATCCAAATACAGTAAAAAATCGGTAACCGAATACGACTCGGATGACTCATATAAGAAATTGGTAGACCAATCGGAAATAAATCTAAGTTCAATGAATTAATCACTAAATTAGTAAATCTCAGGACTCATAAATTCTGATTTATTTTGTTAAAAGTTAAATGTTGGAAATACTTGGACATGAAACTACAAAAATATCGGTATGTTGTAAAAGATAAGGTTTTTCCCCGAAAGTGAAAATAATCATGATAATCGCTCATGATCTTGAGATGGTAAAGGACTTAAAATTACTAATTTTTGAGCGAACACCCAGAGGCTAAATTACCAAAAGTACCTTATACGTCTGAATTACTCGAAATGACAAAGTTGAATTGAATATAAGTTTTGTATGTATTCAAATTATTAAAACGATAGGAATACTTTAGAAACTCTGAAGTGACCGAGATAAACTTGAATACTAATTAATTTAAGTACCCCAATGGCCTTGAATCAAGCGAATAATTTGGATAAGTCTGGAAACACTGATGATCTTATATGTTGTAATGTCTAAAAGGGTTTTGAACCACGAATCAAGTACGTCATCATTTTCTGATATAGTTGCAATGTAGAAATGTAATAAAGACCATTGGAATATCTGCTCGTCTCCCTAAGATCCATTAAGTAATGGTTCTGAAGATGATCAATTCGACAAGAGTTGTCTGTAGTAAAGAGTGAATACCCTTAAAGTACAACGATTTGATCGGTTGACAGGTATCATTTCTGGGATTTGTTCAATTTGAGTTAACTCGATATTCAGATAGATTGATACAAATCTTAAATGCCCTGAATCTTCGTTTCTCCCTTATTAGATCAAATCACTAAGAATTCTCCAAGAACCTAATGCCCAAAATGTCTCTGATTTCCTGAATAATGGAATCATTATTGTCATATATGAAAACATAAGTAACTCTGATGCAAAGGATTTTGAATACCTTTATGATTACATAGTGCCTCCGAAAAATATCTGAATACTATATGATCATATAAATCACGTTCTGGATAACTAATGAATATGTCAGCTATTAAACCCTTTTATGGGGATCTCGTCTCTGAATTTAATTAGTTTACAAAAAGTTTCATGATTCCCTATCTGATAAATACCAATAACCTCTGAATAATATTTGGAACATCTAGTGTGTTCCATGATCACACATATGTTTTCTCTTATTTTAAAAGTATGTTTCTGTTATGTGAAATACAGTCTAGCCTCTAATTTATGTTATGAACTTTGATATATATTATGATCTCTGATCTGATTTATGATATCTCTATTTACTGACTGAAATTATTTTATACGGGGTACTCTTGGACTCTGGTATGACTGAAGACTCTGGCAGGTTTAATCGCTGTTGGAAATTTCTTGTATAGGTTCAACACCGACTGATAATTCCTTATGGACCTAAAGTGACTCTTGGGTGGAAATTTAATCAGATAAATCTTATGGACTCTAAGGCACTTCCTTAGGCTGGCTCCTCTGTTGTGTGCATTGGTTAAGTTCTTATGGGCCTAAGGGCACTCCCCTCAGTGGGCACCTATGCTTCGGCTAGGGTAAGATCTTATGGACCCAAGGTGCCCCCTTAGGTTGACACTTATGCCCTTTGGGCCTAGGGTAAGTCCTTATGAATACAGGTCTGGGGAACTGCATATTGGCGTTCAGTTGGAGGATTTTACTATAGTTTTTTAAATTCGTTTTAAACTACTATTGTTTAAAAAAAAGATCTGTACATTTTTACTAGTTTTGTGGGAACACACTAGACACCCTATTATGATCTCTTGAACCTAGTCCACCGAGCATTTACTATGAACTGAAAGCTTCCTTTCTTTTACTACATGAGATATCAGTGGGACCTTTGCTCAACATAAAAATCTGTAAATGTTTGAATCAATAAGGAAAATTATTCTTACATATTATTTGCATGTCCTTCAGCATCACTTGGTAGTTTTGTATTACTGAGCTTTCCAAAGCTCACTCCGTTACTCACTATTTTAGGTTAAAAGAATTGAACCATTGCAGCTATCGACATCAACATTGGAGTTCCATCGGCGTTACTTGCAGAGTCCGGTGCATGTGTTGAGGGGGCATGTAGGTGGTATTCTATTTTTATTTCTGAGTCTAAAATGTGTATGATTTTAATTTTGTTTGTAATATATGAATGGTTTTCTAAACTTGTATCTTAATTATAAATTATTTTATTATTTTACACGTTTTAAAAGAAATTTTAAATTTTCCTGAGATTTTTAATTGTGGGTCGCTCCGGCGGTCCTAATGTGGTACCTCGGATCAGATCGGGTCATCCGCATTAGTCCAAGGGTGTTACACAAAATCTCAAAATTAAAATCATCATATGGAATTAGATCAAGATGTGGCAAGTATGAAGCTCTGTTGTTCCAAGTATTAATTTAGTTCGCGTGCTTCGCAACCCATTTCACATTGTGCTTACCCAGTCCATCTAATCTGTGTAAGGGTAATGATCTCATAGAATGGGTAGAATAGGTCGATGGCAATCGAACTGCCTCAACACTTAATCCGAAAACTGTATTTCAACAAAAACAAAATGAATCAATGATGTAACATCACTCCAATATTGACAACCATCCAAAACATCTACCGACACACACGTTAAAATTTCTCTATCTAGGTAAAACTTCCAATTTAAATTGTAAAATTAAAATTTATAAAAATTAATTTGACGCGAAATTATAAAATTATAAATAAAGAAATATTATTTTATATTTATATTATAAAATTAGGCCTCCAAAATTAATTCATTAGGAAAAAAATATAAAATTATAAAGAAATAAATATAAATAAATGAATTTAATTAAAATAAAATAATTATATTATATTATAAAATATACATTCTTTTTTTCTATAAATGTCGATTTTCATCCGAAACTCTTTAATATTATTTTGCACTAGTCTCGTCCTTTCTATTTTATGCCTCGTTATGTGTCTGCTATTTGTGAGTACTACAAATGAGTGTAGATATATGTGCAAGTATACACAATCGAACAAGTAATACAGTGATAAGTTGAGTATCGTCTCCACAGGGAATTGAGGGAGTCAAATAGGTTTGTCAAGACACTTTACTTTGTCACCTAAGTAAAGTTAGTGATGGTATATACAAATGATAATGATGTGGCAAAATGGAATGATTGATATGGAAATGGAATGATGGTGATGTGGTAGCGAATGAATATGTCGTGGCAAAATAGATTGTGTTTAGTGCAAACAAATGGAAATGTCAAGGCAAAATGAAATATAAATATATGAGTTAATTAATAGGACTTTGTCTTTCTCACATGACAAGCTACTATAGAAGTGAGTGATAGGAGTCACTAGGAAAATCTAAGTCTATTTATTCGAATGGTATTTCTTATATGCCTAGTCTACCTGACAGAATCTACTGAGGTGCCCTATGCTATCTCTAGTAAGAGACTTGACAGATTAAAGATGCATTGGTAAAATCGATTGGCGTAAACCCCTGCAGTGATCCTATTGGTCCAGATAATAGGATATGTCTCGGTAATACCTTTTTGCGGCAGCATTAACATCCAACCTAGCGTTCTTGCACAGCTCCTTTTAGTCGAATGAAATCCTAGCCTTATCTCTAAGGCGGATTAGACCTAGTTACTACCTAGAACCCCTTTTTTATGTAGTTCCTCCCTAATTTCTCTCAAATACTAAGGATATTTTACCAATGTATTCTATCGAACCCTAAAAACCTCCTAAGAAAAGGATACTCTCGTAGCTCCTACAACCTTAAGGCTAATAAGTTTCATAAAAAAAAATAGATTAAAGCATAGAAAAACAACCATTCATTGAAATAAAAACTTAAACATCCAAGCAAACTCCCACCAAATAGGATTAGTTCATAGTGGGGTTCGAAATAATCAAGCACAAAGCAAGTTTAATTCGTTCCTTACAACCCAATAATAAAATATGAAAGTAAAGAACTAAGGGGAGGAGAAAAAGCCTTCAACATGCACTGCCAAATGCTTCCCTCGACCACCAAGAACTGCTCCCAACGATCTAGCTCCTCTCGGACGCTTAGAACGCCACTCCCTCAGGCTTGTCAAGGACAAATGCCACGGTAAGTAGGATTGACTGAGAAAAGTGAGACCTTCTCTCTCTAACTTTTTAAGCTCAAATCTGAGTGAAACCAAAGTCTCTAAAATTGTGGCTTCATCCTCTATTTATAGGGGAAAATTAATCCTAGGACTTGGTGTTGACTTTCCTAAGAAACCCTAAAACCATGGTTAAGTTGCTTGAGAGTCGGCCAGAGCAGGCTATGATACAGCCTGGGTAGCTGGCTGAGTGATCGGTATATTCCCGTTGCAGGTACCCAAGGACAGACAAGATCTGCAGGGGCAGGCAACGTCATCAGTAGGACCGACGGTTGCAGTACCGATCCTTCCAGGCGGATCTTCGAGGTAGATTTCTCGGGCAGATCTCTCAGAGAGTAGGAGACAGTTGGCTTCAAAAATATCTTCTCGCACTTTGCGCGCTTTCGAAATGCCAGTCGCACTTGGCATTTTTATTTTGCTCAGCAATCTCCTTATGTCACGACATTTCCTTTCCTCTTTTCCTTGCTTTTAGTTCCTGCACATCATCAAACAAGCACCTTTCCCATAAGGCAACACCGCTTAAAATAAATGTCGCGGCAAACCGAATTCCACCACATGCAACTAAATGCTTCTACATGGTCCTAAATGAGCTCTTAAACATTCAATAACTTAAGTGAAAATGTCCCAAAATATTACCTTTTACGGAGTTATCAATATGTAAATCAAAAAAAATATGTGTTACTTATTTTTAATCACAATAAATAAACTCAAATTAAGAATTTAAATTAAAATAGAGAAAATAAATATTACCTTCAGGCAAGAGGAAAATTAATCGTTGTTCAACTAATCGGTGTTAAAAATGGAAGTCTGTGCGAAGCCCAAGATTGTAGCAACATCAAACATCCACCGATTTATGTTGTATTAATATTATTGACGATTACTGATGCCTTGCACATCTCATGGTACAAGTGCTAATATCGCAGATTCCCAACTGTATTGATGCGTATTCTGAAAATTTCTCAAAATCATGAGATATTGCATATGAACCAGATTGTTGGATTTATCCGACATCAAAACTCCTCAATCAACTGCAAGATATATGCTCGAGTTGCATATACAATTTCTTCTTGGGTACTATTTTGTTGGAGTTTAAATTGATTCTCCAACCACGACAGCCTTAATTGCAAAGTGTTTCCACATTATTGTAATGATTTCTCATCACCACCGTTATCTCATTTGTTGGAACCCCGAGTTGGAAGTCCACATCTTCTAGAGTTATAGTGCATTCTCCGTACGGAAAATGAAATGTATGTGTTTTTGACCTCCAACGTTCAATCAATGCACTGATCAAACCCGGGACCAACTTATACTCTCGAACAAATGTGACATAATAAAATCCAACCTCTTGTAGGTTATCTTCAATCAAAAGGTGTGACTTAGCGGAAATATTGAGCCGATGACGGAAGACTCGTTGTTCGTCTTTCTACAATTATAATATTCATGAAATTAATCAATTAATCATAAAATAAACTTATGTAATTTAATAATAATTTATTATTAAATAATAATATTTTATTAAATAATAATAACACCATCGCTCCCAAATGGCTATAAATATGTTGAGTTTCAAGATGAAGTAGTTGATTTTGTTATGTCATTTGAACGAATATGTAGAAAAAATAAATTTAATAACATTAACAATTTAATAAAACCATTATTATAAACAAAACTAATTTAATCTAAACTAAGTAAGAGATTAAAAGATCAAAAAATAAAATAAAATTTACCAGATTATTTCTTTCTTCTTCTTCTTCTTCCTTCCTTTCTTATTCTTCTTCCTTCCTTCCTTTCTTCTACTTCTCTTTTTCTTTACTCCCGGTGCCTCCCTCCCATACACCCAATATATAATAAAACCCCAACCAACCGAGCTCTATTATTGTTGCAATTACTGCTACAAAATGTAACCTTTATTGTTGCCCCCTGTAAGGGCGCAGACTGCCATGCTGCATGCAGCGTGACGGGTACCATTCATGGGGAGAGGAGAAGCCATGCAATCAAGTGGGGGACATATGTGTGTTTTTCATGCTAAACGCATGGAACACCATGCGACCTTGGTGGGGAAAAACCGCATGGAGCACAGTGCGACCTTGGTGAGTTCCGGCTAGGGCGCTGGGAGTACAATGTGGCTCCAAGTTATATTGTGACATTCACCCTATTCGACGAAATAATCTCTCAATATTATTATCTCACGAATTTTTTCCCCAAAACAATATTTAAAAATTTTAGCCCTAGATCCACAATCAAAAGCAGCGTCAATCTCGTGTCGTCATCAAAAACAATCCAGTTCTCGTTTGCATCCGAATGAAACCTCTCGTTCGGAGGAGAAAATGTGTGAGGTTAGGTCGAAAATACATACTAGGAACTTTATCTCCTCAAACATGAAATGCAACATGATGGCCAAATATCAAGTGACAAGACTTTAAGAGGAGGAGATGATGCTTTTAACACCTTTTTCTAGGAAAATGATGTCGAAAAGCACGTCCCTCGTGTCGTCTTTGTTGATCTTAAATCCATTGTTATTGATGAAGTGAGGACCAATACTTATTGTCAATTCTTCCACCGTGAGATGACGGATTAAAATCAATAATTATATGTAATTGTATAATGTATAATGTTATCATAAAATATGATATAAAATTAAATAATTATTATATTACATGTATATTAGATATTAAGGTGTCATAGAATTAAAGAACAAATATCACAAATTATATTTATAATTTGATGAAAGAAAAACTTATAAATATTAAAAAGGATTGACATAATATTTAATCTATACCATAGGTGGTGATCTTAAAAAAAATGTTAACTTGTATTACATTTATCTCGTAGAGAGTTTTTACAATAAGAGAATTTATTTCTTAAAAGATCACAATCAAACAAAGACTCAAGATTTAAACATATCAATTAATATAAGTACGTTTTCGTATCTAATATTTAATATTGTTTTTAATTATTTGTTATAATTAGATTATGTTTATATAACTGCACTGGGTTCCTTATTTTCAATGCTATTGGTGGGGGCACTGGATCTTGTCTGGGTTTTTTCGTAATTTTAGAGCGTTTGTCAGTTGATTACGGCAAGAAATCCAAGCTGGTTTTCGGGTCAGTGTCTATCCAGTTCCTCAAGTCTCTAATTCTGTTGTTGAGCCCTACAATAGTGTTTTCTCAACTCACTCTTTTGGAGCACACCGATGAAACTTTCTCCTCTTTGACTGCTTCACTTAGGTTGGACGGTGCATTGAACGTTGATGTAACAGATTTCCAGACCAACTTGGTCCCCTACAAACTATCGGATTCTAATTTGGAGTTTATCAAGAATGAAATAATTGGAAACTCAAAGGGCCGAGGTTGTTTATTTAATTCCTTTGATGCCTTGCCTTGGTAGCTGAATATATTCAATGGTTCACTTACATTCGTGTTTTCACTGTTGGTTCACTCAGTTTGAGAGGGACCGATGTATGGGATCGCGGCAATTACCTGAATGACCAGGTCTTGATCAATGCCCCTTTGGTTCAGTTGTTTATGTTTTCTGGTTTACTGCATCAGTCCACTGAGAAAACATAGAGAAGGTGGTAAATAGTACTCACTCCAGTCACCTTGTTTTATGGCTGGTAATCATCATTGAATTCTCAATACTCTTTTTCTCAACTAAGGAGGACAAGTTTTATATGTATGGTATCTTGGAGCGAGAAACAGATTTTCCTGATGCTTATATGAATCAATTAAGGATTACTTATAACCTCAAGGAAGTGTACAAGTTTCATTTGCATGGCAATATCAGACACAAGAATGCCTACTGCAGAAGATGGCAGGTCAGGGTATGGTGATAAAAGGGTGGGCACCACCATTGTTGACACTGAACCACAAAGCAGAGGATGGATTTCTGAGTCATTGACTCATTGTGGGTAGAACTCGGTTTTGAAAGCTATAGCTGGTGGAGTTATGATATTGGCTTGGTGGAGAGAAAAATCAAAAGAGCGGGAGGATTGTAAGAGATAAAGGGACGGTCAAACATGTGAAGAAACGGTATCAAATCAGGGTTCAATCATCGTCATTTACACGGTAATGGTTAAATCATTAATTTTAAAATATTAATATAAAATAAAAATTTACTTAAACATTAATTACTATTTAATGTAATTTGCCTTTTAATAAATGATAATGTATTAAGTCATCAATAGTGATAGAAATAGGTAAATTATAAGATTTATCACTTTTATTTAAGTTTTATATTTTTTTACTTAATTCAAAAAATATTATATATGACCATTTTTGTTTTTATTTAATAAAGATGTGATTACCGAAAATTAATTGATATTAGACTTTAACAAATTGTTGACATGTCACAATAAATATATAAAATTAAAAAGAATAAACTACATAAATGATTACTAATATTTAGATTCCCCATCGAAATTTCAAATTGATGGAGATCATTTTATTATATGTTCAAGAATAATCTGAGCTAATACGGAACCACCCACACAAAAGGTAGTAGAAGCATTGCCAACTGTTGCAATCAAAACAATTTGCACAACTGGAAGAATGTGAACGTATATTTCCTTGCTACAGAGGAAGGATATCCTTTTATTACTATGAAAAGAAGAAGTGGAAGCATTTCTAAAACATCTGTTCTATCTTTTTAATTTCAACAACTTGCTGGCTGCCGTTTGGTCTCAGAGTTTTCTTTTATCATACCGACTGACAATACATTTACAGATAAAAGAAAATATCAATGAAGCAGTCAGCAGGTTAACAATTGAGATTTTGACATTGTAATGCAACAGATTTCTGATTCAGATTATGTATATACATGAGATGCTAAAACAAGTTGTTCTTCAATTTTGGCTACTTCATCAATAAGCAGTTTGTCTCAGTTTTGGTCAAGTCATAAGTTGAGTGGCTTTGTTGGACTAGTGAAACTCAAGGACTCAGGCCAAGCATAAACCCATATGCAACTCTAGAAGTAAAAAAAAGAAAGAAAGAAGAAGAAGCAACCATCTCAGCAAAACTTAAAATCTAGACAAGTCACCTTCAATTTTATCGTCTTTTTAGCTCAAAATAGCCCTCAAAAAGAAAAAGAAAAAAGCAGAAAAGGGGTTCCTTACTTCCTTATACCAGTCGAAGCAATAACAAGAAAAATGATGATGATGATAGTGATTCTAATGATGATGATAACAATAAAAGGATATCCTTTCTCTGAAACAAATGTATTCTAACCAAGGAAATATGGCAAAACTGCCAAGATAATGTTTAAGGAAACTTTTATTCCCAAGATAATGAAGCCATGATATTATTTCCCACAATGGAGTGATTGCTATAGGAAATATGGAAAGCTCGGCGTCTTCAGGTTTGATGGAGCTCTCGTCGTCTTCAACTTGGATATCCCGGCGTCTTCAGCAGATGTGGAAGCGTGGATCTCTCGGCGTCTTTGCATGGAAGGCTGGATATCTCGGCGTCTTTAACGCAATTTCATGTGTCGTAACCGGTTTTCGTCCGGGCACGAAATATTTATTTTGGCGGGAAAATCTATATAAATAAATGGTTTTGAAAATAATTTGGGGAGTCGCCATCGGCCTTTTGGATCAGGTAGGTCGAATACCTAAAAATTATTTTTTAAAAGAGTTTTAAGAAAACATCAATTAAAAAATTGAACTGATCTGCGTTTATAACCAAAAATTCATTCTTTTTAATAATAAAAAGGGGTTCGTGGTCGGTTACGTTTAGGGAAGGATTAGCACCCCTACAACGCCCAAAATTGGTACTTTTTAATTATAAATTGTCTCTATTATTAAAATTTAAAAATTCAAAAATATATTTAATTTATAATCCTATTATTTCAAAATTATATAAAAAATATTTATTTATTTAAAAATATCAGAAAAGAACTTCTAGGTGTCTTAAGACAGCTCTTTTCTTTGATATTGATAAATATTAATTTAAATAATATTGTTTAATTTTTTAATTTTAAAATATCAGAATAGGACATCCAGTTGTTTTAAGACTGTCCTTTTCTTTGATATTGAAAACTAAATATTAAAATAATTTATTTAAAATAAATATTTATTTATTATATATTTATACAATATTTAAATATATAAACAAGTAAAAAAAATACAATTCTAACTATATATTTAAAAGCAATAAAAAATACATAAAATAAATGATTAAAATATAGTGAAATTAAAATTGAAACACCTAATTCATAATTAATCAGAATTACAGGGATTGAACATGCTATTTTTTTTTGATAATTTAGTGACTAAAATAAAATAATCTAAAATTCGGATATTAGAATAAAATAAATTAAAAATATAAACTAAGGATTAAAATATTATTTATTAAAATTAAAGGATTAAATCTGTTATTTATCCTAAATATATTATTTTAATATAAAGGACTAAAATAAAAGAAATTAAAATTAAAGATCCGAATTAAAAGTATTATAAAATCGATTTAGTGACTAGAATGTAAAAATTACAAATTAGGAGGACGGCGGACGGGGTTTAACTATTGTCTAATTACGCGCATAGTCATTCTCGAAACGACGTCGTTCGGGAAGGCCTATATAAGGTCAAAACCGGCTGGCCCGAAGGGCCAGCTTCATTTCATTTTTTTTTTCTTTCTCTCTCTCTTCTCTGAGAGAGAGAATTTTCTCTCGCTTCTCTCTAGAACAGAGAGAAGCTAGCCGGCCGGCAGCCGTCAGTCGACGTTCGTCTGCCGTCAACCACCGCCGCCGGTCACCGTCTTCGGTGGCCGGAAATTTTTTTTTTACATCTAAACGTAGATCGGACCGTCCTAATGACGGTTCCGATGCTCTTTTCCGTTAAACGGCTCCCAATCGGAGCAAATCTAAAAAGAATACCTTCGGTTTTTCGAAGGTTTTGGTGAGATCCGGCGTTTGGCTTCCTCGGTAAGTTTTTCTCCTCCTTTTTCTTCTGTTTTTGGTTGCTGGTTGTGGGATGTTGACTGAGATCGTTGGTAGTATTTTGTATATATATATATATTTTTTTGGTTTTGTATCTCTGGTATGTGTTCTCTGTCTTCTTCCTCCTTTTTTTTTTCTTTCTTTTTTCAGGTTCAGGTGGTGGCTTTTATAGCCACCACCGGTGTGTCCATCGTACCGGTCCGAAGAGGGGGTCTCGGTGAGTCACCGGACTACCAGTGGTGACTCACCCCGTAGCCATGGCGTGTGGAGGGCAGCTGGTCTTCTGGAGTCTTCATTTGGGACGTGGCAGCGGCGGAGGCGGCGAAAGAGTGTCGGCAGCGGTGATTGGAAACTGGGGCGGCGCCGCGTGGCCCTAGGGTAATGATACCCTAGGGTTTCTTCTGGCATATCTGAGGACCGTTGGATCTCTCAGATCCAACGGCTGTGATGATGAGGCGGCTGGGATTAGGGTTAGGAAACCTTAACTGAAACCCCCAAATGTTTAGGGTTTCTGGTTGGTCTGGACCGGTTCTGGTTTGTTTGTAACTGGGCCGGTCCAGTTGTAATTGGGCCTGTAATTAATTATTTATATATGTATTTAATATATATTTAATAATAATAATAATGATAATAATAATAATAATAATAATAATAATAATATGGGTAAAAAATTAGTATCTTCATCATGCATGCAATTTCATGCATGATAGATATGTGGGAGCTGTGCATGTATGATTGATCTCTCGGCGTCTTCAGTTGGATTCTTCATAGGAACTCTCGGCGTCTTCAGTTGGATTCTTCGTAGGAAATCTCGGCGTCTTCAGTGCTGTGCATGGGACTGGACGTGAGAAATCACGGGTTCTGCAGGGAGAAAGCACAGAAATCACGGGTTGAGCAGGGGCTGCACGTCTGCATGTGGGGGGCATGCAATTGTTGGATTTCTCGGCGTCTTCTTCACATTTAGGTAAGGATTTCTCGGTGTTTTCGTGGAAATCTCGGCGTCTTCTTAACAAATAAATCCAATAATGCATGGATGAGTTACGAATGTGTTTATAAGAGACTGCTCGGGCTGAGGCAATTCACAATTACAGAAGCAGTGAGAGTTTGGGGCTGAGGCAATTCACAATTACAGAAGCAGTGAGAGCCTGAGAGGGAGATCGATCAGCAGCAAGATCACAAAGCATAGCCTGAGGTAATTTAAACTCAAGCCCTAGATCTCATTTGATTCTTGTTTTAAAGGTTTAGGGTTTCATATTGATCTCATAATTTTAGTTTCATAAGTTTATTAATTTTGTGATTATATGTTGTTACACTCTGAAATAATAATTTATATGTTGTTACATAATTTGAAATAAGGTTGGGACCATTTTGGAACATTGTAAAGTTTTAGGGACCGTTTTGTAAAATTTAAGGAATAAGAGTAAATTATTAAAAGTTGCTATACTATGCTGGAATTTAGTATTAGTATGCTTAATTGGTTAAATTAGAAAGAATTTAAAATTTATGGATTAAATTGCTAAGTTTGAAAATGTTGAGAACCAAATAGTAATTAGGGATCGTTTTGTAAAATTTGAAGAATTTAAGGAATTAGAGTAAATTATAAAAAGTTGGTATACTATGCTTGAATTTAGTATTAATATGCTTAATTGGTTAAATTTGAAAGAATTTATAAATTTAGTGATTAAATTGCAAAGTTTGAAAATGTTGAGAAGCAAATAGTAATTAGGGATCATATTATATTTGATGTTTATTTTTTATTAAAGTAGATAACATGCAATTGATTATTTGAATAAAACAATGTAATAATTGAGTGTAATATTTAATTTTTTTTGTCTAGATTTGTTGAAACATGGCAGAAGAAAATGTTCTTTTGAGGCTAGATGGTCGACACATTTCGAGTAATTTGGGAGAACTGGTAATATGATCGACTTATTTTTTTTATTTGAGAACGGTGTATTAATTCTAATTACAATGATTAATA